CACGGGACTTGTGTTGAGGGAGGAGGCTGAACTCGAGGGTCCTGCAGAGTGGACTCCAGGACCGGGGGGAGGGTTTGGAAAATAAGGGGCCTTGGCTACCCTAGCCCTCACCTGCTGCGGAAAGTGGCCACGTTGGGGCCACAGGTGGTGCCTGGGGGGGGAAACTACCTGTGTAAAGTCGGTCTGAGGGGAAAACAAGGGAGGCCCAGAGAGGTCGAGAGAGTTGCCCGGGGCCACGCAGTGCGGCAGTGGTGGCCAGGGCTGGCCTTCAATAGGGCAGAGCCTGGGCGATGGGGAAGCAGGCACCTGGGGGGTGCTGTGTCTCATCGCTGTTTCTCGCAGGACACTGACCGAACTTCTGAAGCAGCCCGGCCCCCAGGAGCCACTACCTCCACCTCTGGGTCCACCTGTGGGTAGCTATGTCCAGGTGCAGATGGGCGATGGCCTCCCCCGGGGCTCCCCCCACAACAGCACAGGTGAGCAGGCCGACGGGCCAGCATCTGCTAATCCACAGCACTGGGTCTCCCTGGTCTGTCATGGGCCTGGGAGCAAGGGAAGCGCTGGTTGTGCTGAGGGGCGAGAGGCTCGACAGGACTGCTTCCCAAACGGTAATGAGCTGCTGCCTCTGCAGGTGTGAGTGGGGGAGGGGCGCGCCGGCAGCTCCCCCTGGTGGATGGAAACCTGCGGGGTCCTGCAACCTCCAGCCTCAAGGACTCCAGGGAGGTTCCAGATAAAGGGCTCAGGGGCTCAGGTTGTGGTCCTGGGCTCCAGCTTAGCCCCCTGGGGTCTGCCTGGCCAGGCTCTGCGGCCGCCTGCAGGCCTTCCCCTCTAGGCTGGAGCCTTCCTCTTGTCCTCTTGTTGTAGAGGCAGGCTTGACGGCAGCCCCCAACACACACACACACACACACACACACACACACACGAGGGCTCTAATGCCAGGGCAGGTCCTGGGACTCAGTGCCTGGCTCAAGCTGAGTACGCTGGCGCGTCATCCCATTAGGTTAGCACCCACTTAGGACTGGCTGCCATTCATGTCATTCTGAGCCAGACCCTGTTCCGGACGCTGGAAATTGTGCCATGGAGACACCTTCCACTTTCAGTCTCACCCAAAGAGCCACCCACCCGAACTGCCCTTGGGCAGCGGCCCCGAAGCTCCGTGGCGGTGCACTGCAGAGCCCTCTGGTCAGCGGGCTGAGTCTCGTCTTCCCCCTCCCCCGCTCTAGACAAGAAACGCCACAACGGGCCCCTGGGGTCGGCGACACTGGGACCCCTGCGTGGCCCCCGGCTGCAGGGCGGTGGCAGCAGGACGCTGCAGCCCGACTACGCTAAGTACGCCACCCTCAAGGCGGCGGCGCTGAAGCCCTCAGGTGAGTGGCCGAGTCTGTGCGGGGAGCGCGGGGCGCACTGGAGTGGCAGAGACCCCAGCCTTGCTGGTCAGCGCTCCAGCCAGCTTCTACAGGGGTACAGGGGGGCCCCCCCGCCGCCGCTGTGGCCCGCACCCTGACCAGGCCGACTGGCTGGGACCCCTCACGGGACCCAGAGCCGCCCGGCGTGGAAGGCCGCGTCTCAGACGGCCTATCCCCGCCCTGCCCCCGACACGCCCCGCTCTGTCGCTCTGTCCCCACAGAGGCTGCCCCGCAGGACTTCTACCAGCATTTTCCAGCATCCGCCCCCGCCCCACTGAGCCTGCCGGCGCGGGCCCCGCAGCCCCCAGAGGACTTGCCCGCGCTGCCTGACGCATGCCCGTGGGCCCCTCCCGGCTACGCGCCCCCCGCGGGCCCCGCCCCGACGGGCCACCGCAAGGCCTGGACCACCGGCGGTCTGGCTCGGTCTGTCCCCTGCGGCCATCTGGCGGCTCAGGCGTCCCCTGCTCCCCCGGGCTCCGGTCGCCCACCCAGGCGCCAGTTCGGTGTGAAGCTGCCCGAAGTCTTTGGCACGCAGCCCCCAGGCCTTCACAGCTGCTCCGGTCGTGCACCCGGGCATCTGAGCACCAACAGCAAATCTGAGGTCACCGTGTGAAGGCGGGGCTGTGGTTCTTCTGAGGCATCGCCTCTACCAGGGATCCGAGTCGGCCTGTTCGAGGGGCCCAGGCCACAAGGGACAGGGGCACCATCAGCGTGAGTCCAGCGGTTCTGCCTGGCCAAACTGGACAGGAGCCCTTGGAGCCTGCAGGGCTAAGGAGGGGCCTGTCCTAGGGCTGCATGGCCCAGGTTCCTCATGTAAATAAACCCTTCTCTGTGGCTCCCATCCCTGAGAATAAAGGAGCCCCAGCTTGGGTCTGAGCGGAGCTGACAGCGGAGGCATTGGTCATTGACTGGACAGACGGCAGTGCGGGCAGAGAGCACAGCATGTGCACGAGCAGAGGACTGTTCTTGAGAGCTATGGGGTGTGTTCCAGGAGCCGGGAAGTGGCGGCTGAAGGGGTGGTCGGGGTTGAATGCCAAGCTTAATGTCCACACCAGTGGACCTGTGGGAGAGGGGCAGTTAGGTCCTAGCCATCTTGAGGCCTGTGCACGGGTGAGAGGGCAGAGGGGCCATCCCCTGACTGGCGGTGAGCACCCCTCCAGAGGGCCACCCCCCTCTGCAGCTTGAGTTGGCAGGGCCGGCTGATCCTCATTGACACAGTTTGGCGCTGGGCCTGCCCCTGGCCTGCAGGCCACTTGGTCAGCTTGGCCCAGAGCCACCCCCCTAATGGGTGTGGGCAGTGGGCCTGGTGGACAGCTGGTGCTCAGGATGGCTGGGCCTCCCTGCAGTAGCTGCTGTGGAGGGAAAGGGGACTGGAGATGCTGGATCCGGAGCCTTGGCAGCACCCCCATGTGGGTGCTCACACCACACACGTGCACAGCCTGCTCTCCCCCTTCCAGCCAGGCTGGCTTTGGGCCCCTGGCCGCAGCCCAGGGCAGTGCCAGCAGCCCGGGTGCATCACTCTTCTGTGACAGGTCCTGCCCGAGGGTTGAGGGCTGGGCTGCGACCCTCATGGTGCGACCTCAACAACACCAGCCAGGTGGGCCTTCTCCCCTCGGTGCCCTAGGCACGGTGTACTGTTTGAGTGACGGTGGCCACCATTCGTTGCTGTTTCTTTCACTTAAGCCTCACAGAGGCCCCAAGGGAATGCCACTTTACAGACGAGGAAAACCGAGGCTTTGAGACCTCAGTAACTTGCCAAGATCACCCAGCCGACTCCAGTTTAGGACTCTTCCATGTCTGGCTGCCACTGTGGCCCTGTGGCATGGCAGGCAGGGGGCAGCCAGAGGAGGAGGAGGAGGGGTATGGGCATCTGTGTTGGTAGGGAGTGGCCCCTGCTTCCAGGGTGCAGGCAGTCTCAGGTTTCCCGAGGCGCCCAAACCCACCAGCTCTTCAACCCCGGTCCCGCCCCCGCCTCTACGGGCTGTTGAAAACAAGGCCCAGAAGCCCCAGGACAGCAGAGCCCAGAGAGGGCAGTGAGGGCCCCAGTGGTGTGCTGGGAAGACGACCTCATGCCCTCAACCCAGGATGGGGTGGGTACCGAGTCCTGCGGGCAGCCCAGACTCAGAGGATCCGGTCCCTGGGCACACTGACCACCCACGATCACTCACCCTGGTGACTGAGGCCCTGGCTCTGCACCCCACAGGGTCAGGTTTGGGTGTGGGCATGACTGTGAATGGGGACCAGCTACAGTTGGGCTTGCCCTCGGGACAGTGGCTTGCTGTGACTGCCCTTCAGGGAAGGCAGTGGCTGAGACAGCTGAGCGGACAAGGCCCATTTCTCAGCCAGGCCGGGTTACCATAAAGGTCAGTACCCAGCATGCTTCCCTCCCCACCGCTCCCTGCGGTCTGTCTGGCCCCTCGCAGCCTCACTTAATGTAAACTGGCACGTCCAAGTCAGCTGACACACCCGAGGGGGCTGTAGCCAGAGGCAGGGGCCGTCACCCCCATTCCGCACACGTGGAAGGAGAGGCTGAGCAAGGTCCTGCCTAAGGCGGCCCAGCCTTAGGGATTTACAGGTGCTGGACTCGGGTACGACTTGAGGGCCAGTGCGTCTCCTCAGAGGCTCACTGCCTCTAGGGAGGATGGGGAAACTGAGGGGTGGCCCACCCAGTAATGGAGAGTGGTATCTCAGAGGGGTGAACACCAAGGGCTTAGCACCCCAAATCCGAAAGAACCGCTCGCTGCTGTCAGTTGAACAGCCAGCTCTGTCCTGGCTGAGTGACCACCGATGGCGCAGTACCACCCTTCACCCTGGGCTCTGTCCCAGCCCTGGGGTGTGTGCCAGGCAGCTGGTGCCAGAAGGAAGCTCCAAGTGACATAGAGGGAAGGCCTGTCCTCAGTCCCTGGCCCACTGAAGGCCAAGCCATGCAGCCACCCGGCTAGTCGCCACAGCGGTCACACTACAGACCCTCTCACACTTCGTGCAGGGTGGTACCAATCTGTTTATTGAATAACCTTCATCCAGGACATGGTGTAGGACTGATTCCACATCAAGGCTGCCACAGGTGCATCCCCCTTTTCAGTGAGAAGCCACCCCCTCCCACCCTGAAACAATACTAAGAAAAGGCACAGTATCTACACGACACAAGGGCTGGCTCGCCCTGTGGCCAGGAGCCATAAATTAGTGGGGGGGGAGGTCAAGGCAGGGGAAAGAAAGTGGGTGTGGTCCAAGCTGCCCCCCTCAGGCTCTGCAGAAACAGCCTCGGAGGAGGCACCAGGCCAGGGATCCACAAGCGGGACCACTTTTCCGCAGGACTTCTTTCAAGGCAGGGGCCCCATTCCTAGTGCCCATCCCACAAAGGGGCTTGACACTGGGGCGCCGGTCCCTATCACCCTGGCTTATTTTCAGATGAAGATTCAGGGATAAAAACAGACCATGGAGGTAGGAGTTGGGTGGGAGGGAACTGAGAACCCATGCTGAGGGAGGACACTGTCCCCAGTCCCAATGGGCGGCTTCATCTCTCCCAGTCCCTGGGCCTACCCTGAGCTTGGGCTAACACCGCAGGGATTGGGGGAGTGGGAAGGAACAGGACAATTAAATAAGACACCATTTATTTTTTAAAAAATTAAAAAATAATGCCGACATTATTTCATCCATTCCCGGGTTTGCCCCGTCCCCTGCCACCTCCCCAGGGCCGGCTCCCCCACTTCCCTGGCTGTCCTGTGTGGTAAAGAAAAAACAAGGAACTGGCTTTGGCAGCACAGGGGAGGGATGCAGACCCAGGGAGAAATAAAAACGCCACAGCAACTTAGTCCCGCATCACGGCAAACCCAAGCACACTGATATAAAAACGTTCGTATAAAAAAGGGGAGAGGGCATGCTGGGCACAGTGCCAAGGGCAAAGTGCTCTGGTGCCCAGAAACTCATGTCCCCAGAGGGACAGCCTGATAAAAACAAGGAGCAGGAAAGGGGGGAAGAGACACACAAAGAGAGAATCTTGGAAAGGCTGGAGACGGGCTGGCAGCCTGGGAGCAGGACCCCCTGCTGCTGTCGGATCAGGGCACCCCCGATTCTGCCCTGCTCGGCCCTGGACCTTCGCATCTCCCCGCAGCCCAGGGGTCCACTGTTCTGAAGTGGTCCACGAGCCTTGACAGTCGACACCTCGGAAGCTCAGGCGCATCCCCCAGCTCCGGAGGAAGGAGGGAGAGAGAGACTGAGAGACAAACGGAGAGACCGGGACAAAGGGCAGGAGAGGGCCGAGGCAGGCAGGGCGTGATGGTCAGGAGGCGGCGATGGCGGTGCCGCCCCCCAGCTTGACAATCATCTGCTGGCAGTCGCTGCAGGAGCGTCGGTCGCCCACCTTCTCCAGGGTGCGAGCTGCCTCAGCCAGCAGCACCGCCCGCTGGCCCGGGGAGGAGAGGAAGGAGAGGGGCAGGTGCCGGCAGGCCAGCAGGATGGCCGTGGCCCGCTCTCGCTGGCCGGGCCAGGTGTCCACCTCTCCTGTGGGAACGAGGAGGCAGGTGTAGGAACCGCTTGCTGATAGCCACCTAGAACGCAGGTCCTACTCCTGGGGCTCGATGTGCACTCGGTTATTCAGTCCTCACGTGGCTCATCATGTGGCGCAGTGAGAGGTGGCCCGTGCTGCCAGTCTGGCTTCTGCACTGGGGCAACATCCCCAGCCCTCCCCTCCCCACCCTGTGGCTGGACCCACAACCAGCCCACCCCCACAGCACCTTCACAGACCCTCCCAGGCAACATACCAAGGCAAGCCATGGGCTTCTCTCACCCACCCCACCTCTGAGAACACGGCCGAGTGCCTCCCCTGCTCCGGCAGGGCCTGCACCAAGCCGTCGGGGGACTCACCGTGCTTGGTGCTCTGAGCCGTGCGCCGCCGCAGGCTGTGCTCCAGCAGCTGGTGGGTGCGGGTGGGGCTGGCCCCTGCCATCAGGCGCACCGTGGCTTCATGCAGGAACACCTGGGAGGCACAGGGGCAACGCAGTGAAGACCCCGGTCTTCTCCAGTCTGTGCCCCAGGTGTATAGGTGCCATTCCCTGCAGCACCGCCTGCCACCTGACGACACCCCTTCTCTCCACGCCACCTCGCCCTGCTCACCCCTTGAAAGCAACCTCTGCTGTCCTCGCTCTGACCCAGTATAAGCCAGAAATGTGGAGGAATGGCAGCAGCAAGGAATGCAGCACAGGCCAGCTGGCAGGGGGAAGCCTCAAGTATTTGGAGGCTGCCTCCATGTTGAAAATAGGACAGAATGAGAGGTGAGGACAGGAGCAGTACTGGGGGCGGGATGGCTGGGCTGGTGCCAGGGAGGCCCAGGGCCCTGTTTCTTCAGAAGGAAGCAGAGTCCAGAACGTTCCTGGGTGAAAGTCTGCAGCTCTTCTGTAAATACAAGTCATGAGAAGGGCGAAGGACCAAGCCTAGGCCTCTTAATTTCTTGAAATCTCAAGGTTCTTTCATACGTCAGTATCTCAGAGTGGGGATTTTTTTTCCCTTTTAAAGATTTTATTTATTTTCAGATAGAAAAGGGAGGGAGAAAAAGTGGGAGCGAAACATCAATTTGAGGGAGACACACCGATCAGTTGCCTCTCCAGCACCCAACCCAGGTATGTGTCCTGACTGGGAATTGAACCTGTGACCTTTTGGTTTGCAGGCCAGTGCTCAATCCACTGAACCACACCAACCAGGGTGGGGAGGGTCTTGAGCGCGCCCTCAAAGCAATGGGGGAGCCATTAGAGGATTCTAACAGGGTTGGGGTGGGGTGGAAATGCTGCTTCAAGGGAGGCCTGGTAGCCAGCCCTGCCCTGAGCAGACCGAAGAAGGGCTGCCGAACCGTGGGGCACACTTCCTGTTTCCGGTAGGGGCGGCTCTCTGGTGATTCTGTTTTGTCTGCTGTGTCTGTCCTGGCTCGCTGAACACAGTGGTCACAGTGTAGCTCTGAAGGTCCCACGGCACCCTTGGGTGACAGCAGCCTCACCGGGAGCCCATTCCCTTTTTTGCACCCTTTCCCCTCACTGACACTCTGGCCTCCTCACTTGAAGTTTGTGAAGATAATTTAGGCAAAAATATGTAGAGCACATTACTCTAACCAGCAGTAAAACAAACAAACAAACAAACAAACAAACAAGGAAATGGTTTAAGTGCAGTCAGCCCAATTTTGCAAATGCCCTTGGAGACCTATCTCAGTCACGGCCAAGGGGCTGTTATGTGGACAGACGCGGGCAGCAGACCACAAGCTCCCAGTGGCTCAGAAGCGTTGGACGTAGTCCTAAGGATAGTCAGTCTCTGAGGCCAGCTATGAAGGCCAGAGGAGACTTTCCTGTGTCCTGCCCACCCCTCTCCGGAGGGGCCGGAGCCCTTTCTATCCCAGCCTTTGACTGTGAGGCACCAGCCTCTCAGTCTGCAGGCTCGTGTGGCGTGGCCTGCTCACCCCACACTCTGGGGCCAGGCACGCGGTCCGTACTCAACCCGCAGGAGCTGAACAAAAGGATACACAGCATACAACCAGTGCATGCCAGGTCAGCTGGGTGACCTCCACAGACCAACTCCTCGACCCCATGCTGGTGCTGGGCTGGGCCCTGGGGACCCCAACCTGCCTTCCCTCACCAGGTAGCTGGGTCTCACCTTGCGGTAGGCTGGGCAGAAGCTGTGTGCCAGCCTGCGCAAGCTGCCCAGGTCCCGCTGGAAGCCAGCCAGCTCAGCACCTGACGCGTGGTAGGTCTCTCCCAAAGCCTGGCTGGCTCCTGCCTGCTTTTGCCAGAGTGCCGTTCGCAGCGACAGTAGCAGATCAGAGGTCAGCAGCTGGACCACCTGTGGGGTGGGCGATGGAGGAGGAGACAGGCTGAGTGCTGGGGCAGGGGTCCCAGCAGCTCCAGGACGAAGCCGCCCTGCCAAAAACAAACCCTAGCACTCCGTAGAGGTGAGCACTGGGGGGCACCTTTGGGTGGGGCAGTTGCCTGGGGCTGATTCTGAGAGCCATGAAGCTGGATGGGGTCTCCCTCTTCTGGGCCCACTGTCCCACACATAGCCACCACCCAGGAACATGGTCCTAAGGGTGCTTGCAGCCTCTCTCTTGTTCTCCAAATCTAGCTGGTTCTGTCCTGAAGATCAACAAAGGAGAGGCACAAGTGGGGTGTGGCTCCCCCACAGGCCTTTGGTCTCGGGCCCATTCTGCACACTGCCTGTCCTGTAGGGCTGGCCTGCTGTTCCAGGTTCACCCCAGTGAAGTCCTGGGGCACTGGCTACCTCTAACTAGAAGTGCCAGCCTGGCTGGCACAGACCAGTGATGGGCTCAGAGAGTCTGACCCTCTGGGAAATACTCGTCCCTCCTCTTCTGGAGCAAAGCCCTGCGCCTCCGGGTGAGCAGACAATACTGCACTTCCAGTTGTGTGCGCTCCTCCCTCCCCTCCTGGGGGCTGCATCCGGGACCCAGCAGAGTCCTCTCATAAGGCCAGGGTGGGAGGTCTGGAGGCCGGGCAGGCCTCTGTGATGCACTGTGGGAACATTGCACGGGTACTGCCAGAACATGCAATGCAACTACAATGCACCACAGCTGCCCGCCACGAGGGTGCAGCCGGTCCGATCAGGGTGCGTGCGTGTGAGGGGTGGGGTCCACTCTGAGGCTGGCCTGTAAGCTCTGTGGGGTCGTGCAAGCTGCCTGGAGCAAATGCAGAGCCGAGTCTGGGACTCAGGTGCAGGTGGGACGTGTCCGCCCCCAGAACTGAAGAGGGGACCCACCTGGGCTAACAGACTACATTTTGGGGGAGGGGCTGCTTGCTTGGGCTCTGGCTCTTGGACAGCCTCACAGGCCAGGTCAGCTCAAGGCAGGTCAGAGTATTCTTACCCACCAGGGCTGGGCACCTCCCAGAGGGGCCAGATAAGCCCCGACTCACGTGGTTGAGGGTGGGGTCGCAAGTGGCCCCGCTGACGTTGAGGCTGCTCCACAGGTGACCGCTGGCCCTCTCACAGTGGCAGAAGCAACTCTGCGGCCCATCTGCCTTCCCGGGTAGCGAGGCATGCACGGCTCTGCAGGTGTGGAGGACGGCCTTTACCAGGGCGCTCCTGGGGAGTGGGGGGGAGGCGGGAGGAAGGCAGTCAGTACGCATCGCCCGGGTAACACAAGGAACCTGCTTAGGTAACCACCACACCCCAAACTGCCAGGACGTGTGGGTCTGTTGACTCAGATGCTGCCATAGCCCTGGCTGGGTGGCTCAGTCGGTGGGAGTATTGTCCCATACACCAAAAGGTTGTGGGTTCGATCCCTGGTTAGTAGGGTACATATGAGAGACAACCAACGTTTCTCTCTCTCTCCTAAAACCAGTAATAAAAAATAGTCTTAGGTAAGGACTTAAAAACAAAAATACATAAAAAACAAATGCTGCCACTGTGGTTCTGAGCGCCCAGCTCCAGGTCTGAAACGCCAGACCCAGGCCAGGGTGGGCTCCCCACGCCTGCAGAACTTCCTCCGAGCGCTGACTTGCCAGTGGGGGCCTGACAACAAATGCGCTAAATGCCGGATATACAACGGTGGGCAGTGCAAGAGCCATGAAGAAGGTCACTCAGAGGAAGAGGGTGGCACTGGTGAAGAACAGCCAAGAATGTCCTCTCTGGAAAGGTGACACTTGAGCAGAGAGACATGAAGGAACGAGGGGAGTAAACCGAGTGAGTTCCAGGGAGCAGGGCCCCAGGCAGAGGAGCGGCCTGTGCAAAGGCCCTGGGGAGCTGACAGGGTGAGAACACCCAGCAGTCGGTGTGGCTGCAGAGGAGGAAGTGAGGGGAGTGGGGAGGGCGAACTGCTGGGCCAATCATGGCCCTTCCCAGCCCAGCCCTGGCCTGTCTCCCATCTGCCTATGGCCCTGCTCCGGGCAACCAGAGCACATCCGTTCCTTTCTCACTCCTGCCCTCTGCTGATGGGGCAGCCTCTACCTGGAATACCCTCTCTCACCCTTTCCCAGTCCTGTCTGACACTTGTTCCACCTCTAGGCCACCTTCTCCTCCCTGCTAGCTCCACCTCCTGTCCCTACAAGCCTCCCCTGGCTGCTCAGTGGGTCAGGCCCTTTGAACCCATCTCCATGGCCCCAACACCAGCTCTTAGGTTATGGGCGTCCCTCCTTCACTGGACTCTCAGGGGATGATCTGCCTGTGGCCCAGAACCCCTCCCAGTGAAGAGATACACTGGCCGCTTCAGGGAAGCCGCCATGGCAACGGCCCCCCACAGAAGAGCGCCTGTGCAGGACGGGTCACTGCCTACCTGCTTATGACCCTAACTTGCTACCTGGCTCTCTGCTGCCTCCCTGAGCCTAGAATGGTGCCAGCATCAGGCAGCCCCCCGCTGAGTTTGCTGAGAAAATGGAGCAGTGGAGACTGCACAAGGAATCAGTGGCCCGGGCTCAACCATCAGGACTGCCACTAAGGAGCCACCCACCTAAGACGGCGAGACGAACAATCTGTGTCTTAGTTTCCTTGTCTATCCAGTGGCCATGATACCACTTGCTGCTGTCTATGGTCACAAACAGTGTTGGCCTGTTATTTGTACCTGCTTTCTAAGAGGTTATTCCCCCAGGAACTGACATTAAACTCTCTGGAGAAACTTAGCTACTTTTCATAGCGCAAACTGAGGAGAAGACGGCAGAGGCTGGGCTGGCAGAGGGTTTTCACAGCACCATTATCCCTGAAGGGACCCCAGAAAGTCTGACTGTAAGGGAAGGCATGCCTGCTAAGGGTCTTGGCTGCAGGCTGGGCTATGCTGCTTAGAAGTGAGGCAACTTCAGGCAGTTTCCTTGCCAAGCCTCAGTGTGTGGCTGGAAGACACACACAAGTTCAAGTGCTAGTACAGAACTCGGTGCAGGATGGGTGCTCACTGGCCAGGGCACTTAAAAATGAGTTACTTAGCACTGGCTGGTGTGGCTCAGTGGATTCCGTGCTGGCCTGTGAACCAAAGGGTCACTGGTTCGATTCCCAGGCAGGGTGCATGCCTGGGCTGTGGGACAGGCCCCTAGCAGGGGGTGTGTGAAAAGCAACTACACAGAGATGTTTCTCTCCCCCTCTCTCCTCCATTTCTCCTTCTCTAGAAATAAATAAAATCTTTAAGAATTAAAAAAAGTTAAGAAAATAAGTTATTTAAGTAAAATTGGGTGTCAGGGCTCCTTTAGGGAACCTGCTCACACCCCCTTTTCTCAGCTCCCTCCTGGTAAGAGTCTGCTTGGCGGGAAATGCTGTCTGCAGCCTTGGCCCCAGGACCGACCTCCTGGAGCCTCTGTGCCCCTCCCCTCAGTCACACCCGGTCAGAAGCGACCAGTCAGCAGGCCAAATGCCCGCAGGCATGAGTCCCCAAAACAGAGTGTCAAAGATGCTGGACTAGCCCATCGGCCCGCAGACCCCCGCACCGGCCGTGAGCCATCACCACACCACCCGGCTCCAGCATGAGTTTCTGAGGATGCTGGAGAAACACACCCTCCGTCAGCCCTGGCTCCATGGAGGCCGGGGGGCCCCCAGAAACAGCACCGCCAGCTCTGAGACGGCGCACAGACAGATGTGCTCACCAAGCCCCATTTCTCCATAGTGCCCCGGTCCCCCCTCCACCATTTGGTCCCCAGGCTGCCTGACCCTTCAACCCAGGGGGTCCCCCAGCATTTGGTATTCCCCTGGAGAGAAGTGAGGGTCAGGGAGGCTTACGCACTCGGTCACTTCCAGGGCCTTGGGGACACGCTCTACTTCAGTAAAATGAGCACGCACAGCCACATCATCTCCTTGGAGCCAGCTGATGGCCATAGTGATCGCAGATGTCCACCAACGACAGACGACGTCTGGACCTGGGGGGAACAGCACCAAACGTCCCTCTAGCACCCACAGAAATCAGACCTGTGGCACTCGGCCTGCTGGCTGCACCCAGTCAGTCCCCATGCGGCATGTGCTGTCTTCACTGTCCACACATTTCTGGTGGGAGCATCCCAGCGCCTTTTGGCAATGTGTATTTAGAGCCTTAAAAATGTTATTAACACTCCTATTAACCTGGTAATCCCATTCTGGGCAATCTATAAGCTGGAATTGGCCTAAAAAGGAGAAAAAAGCTTAACAAAGCTGTAGCGTTATTTCTAAGTAAAAGGCTGGAAACAAGCTGAATTCCCAACGGCCACGACAAACAGTGTTTCCAAACTCTCTGCAGGAACAGGCTCACGTTAGCACCTTTTAGGTCTTCTCTTCTCTTAGGGCTACTTTCCTCAGCTGGAAATTTATGATGCCAGTTTCCTCAAGATGCAGGGGAACGGACGCGCAGAGTAGAAGGCCTGAGAGCACGCTTTCAACTCGGAAATACCGACAGGCCCCGAGGTCACTGGTTGCCGGGGGGCAGCTGGTTTTCTGGGACCCTTCCCTTCCCAGGGAGAGTGACCAGAAGGGAGCTTGACACCCTCTTTCTCCCATCAACCTTAGAAGCACAATAGGTGGCAGCTGATGTGCCATCATCCTGATGGCATTTTAGGGACAGAAGCAAAGAATGTCCTGGTCCAATTCAATCAGCAGACTGTGCCCTGTCACCCAGGGCCATGACAGCTGGAGCAGCACAAACGCCCAGATGACAGGTCTTTCCATCAGAGCGTCTGACCCAAGGGCAGCCTGGGGTGGGGGCCGCGTGTCAGAAAGGTGGGTTCCCACCAGCCCCTGGTGCTGCACCACTTGCTGCCCACTCTGGGTGTCTGGGAAGGTCGCTGAGCTGCCCTTCCAGCCGGGACCCGAGGGAGACATCCATCGGCTCATCCCACTCCCAGGAGAACCTGTTATTTCCTGACCCCAGAATGCTGCCCAGCAGGGGTAACTGGGTCAGGGCTTTGGGCAGGGTGCGTGGATACAAACCTCAGATCCAGAGAAGATTCCCGAGAGCGAATTCACAACGAGCCCGGGACCATGGGACAAGGGGCTGTGAAGGATGGGATTAGCACCCGAGGCCTGGGGCGCCACCCTGCAAGATGCTTACCGAGGGCTGACTTGAGCACCGAGCTGCTGGAGAAGGGCGGGCTCACAGTCCCCACAGAGTCCACAAAAGAAGTAAGCAATTTCAGGTACTCCAGAGCACTGGAGAACTCACTAGAAAGAAAAGGAAGAGCCCCACTTACATCCAAATGCACATAAGGACCACACTGGTAGCCTGGCTCTCTAGTCATCCGGCTCCGAGACCCGGGATTGTTCCTGGACCCTCCTCCTCCACCGTGCCAGGCACACCAAGCTCTGCCCCTACGCCATTTGCGGGGCTTCCTTCTTCACACGTTACTGACACTCTTCCCTCCCCCGCTGGGAGGACTGGGCTCTCTCTTCAATTCCTGGTCCCCAGGCCTGACGCCTCCCCTCAAGGCCCACTTCAAATGTCACCTCCTCCCACAACTTTTCTGAACTGCCGGACAGAATGCCCTCCCCTTCCCTCTCAGGTGCATGCAGTCAGGATGTGGGCCTCGTATGAGAGTGGTCTTCCCTGTGAAGAAAAACGGTGTAAAAATAACTGTTGGCACGGTCTGGGTCTCCAGGTTCTGTTCCTGTCCTTTTAATAGGCCATTCCTCACTACCCCAAAGAAATCAAATCCCTGACCTGCTCTGGGAACTGATTCCACTGCAGGGGCGGGTGAAAAGGAGCAAAGATGGGAAAGTGACCTAATCAGTCTGGAAGACACGGGCCGAGGCCGCGCTGCAGGAATGAGCACAAAGGAATCACTCCAGTTCCTGCAGACCCGGCCCTGGGGCCTGTGTCCTTCTAGGAGCTCGGGCCTCACAGGTGCCCTGGAGCGTCCTGGACGTCCCAAGGCAGGGCGTCCTGGGGACATTACCAGCTCTCTTCTTCCTGGTCTCCGGCCTTCTTCTTGGCCTGCGGTTTCACCAAGGACTCCACAGCTCGTTCTAGCAGGTTCTTGCAGAAGGCCTGGTGGACCTGGGCAACAGGGTCGGCTGAGGAAGAGGAAGATCAGAGGAAGAGTTAAATGGGTTTCATGGTCGCTTACCTATGTGCCCATTTTGTCTCTACGCAGAGAACAGAGGGCAGCAAGAGGAACCCAGGACAGAACAGCCCCATCCAAAGCTCAGAACTACCTTGTTAAGGGGTTGGCAGGGGGTGGCGGTGGGGAGAGTGGCCAGCCTCAGAGTGCAGAACCCAAGACTACGCGTGGCTGTGCACAGGTTGTAAGTGCGTGCACATGTGCAGTGTCTCGGCACTGAGCTCAGCACTTCCGGTCAAGGCTGGGGGCTGTAAGGTGGTGGCCGCAAGCCTTGTCAGAAAACAGAAAATGGGAAGGCAGACCATTCCCCCATGTCTCAGAGACACTATCTCTTCTCCCTGTGCCTCAGGAGGACAGACAGCTGAGGAGGAAAAGGAGGTGGTTGCTGCCCAGACATGACAAGAAAGACTCCACTCCTGTTTTCCAAAGTCTCGTCATGGGACTTGTGGCCGGTGATGGTCTGGCTGAGCTGATCAACAAACAAGGGTCCCTGCAATGCCTTCAGTAGCTGGCTGTCATCAGTTAGGTCTCCTGTCAGCAGGCTCAAAGCCAGGCGTCACCAGCCCCTCACTTCCCCTCACACACATGTGTGGGCCTCAATCTGACAAGAATGAGAAGGCAGGACACTTACGAACACGCCCTGGTGACGAGGCCTAGAACCAGAGCCTGCCAGAGGCAAGAAGGCTAGTGAACATCTCGGTGTGAACAAAGCAGTCAGTGGGAGGGGCTGAGAGACCCAGGCTGGCTTTCGCTTTCATCCTTACTTTTTGGTGCTGTACAACATTGTTTTGTTGAGCCATAAAGTTATCTTTACAAAAAGGATAGTGGCACCCCTACTCCCCAAAATGTGTGACACACACAGCTGCACCTGTGGAACGTGCCCCACTCTGCAGCACAGAGGCGAACGGCACACAGGGCCGCTCCAGCCTAAGTCAACCGGCCCAGCCCTACCACTCTGAGTGGGGAGAGTCGACTCTAATCACCGTCAAATACCAGGGACGGCAAGCCAGCGTCCCCTCCAGCGCCTGGAGCCCCGTGCCTGCCACCACTCTGGGTGCTTCATGACCGCCTGTCACCTATTGTTTCCTATTTATGCCTGTCTGCTTTCCAGTGGGACCCGGGCCAGCAAAGAGCAACTCCACGCATCCCTTGTCTCTCCAAGGCACCCAGAACAAGGGCGAGAGGACAGTCTGACCGATGGAAGGCTCTGAACGTCAGAGGAAGTTGAGCCACAAACGCAGCGTAGCTGCTGATCAGGCTCAGGAGCCCTGAGCTTCAGGAGACACTGAGACGCCCGCGTCTCCACGGGCTGGGGCACAGTCACCCTGCTGTCCTGGTGGTGACTGCGGCTCTCCCCGTTGCAATGGCTGCAAAGGCGTTCTCACCTGGGTTCCGCTGGGCACAGTACAGACTCTCCTTGGCAGCCGACTTCACTGACCAGCTCCGCTCCATGAAAAACTTCTGGCCAAGGGGGTGGCAGAGCCAGCGCAGCGAGTCAGGGACAGCACTGCGCTCGGGGCCACACAGACTCTGGGCTCGACTGAGGAAGTAGCTCTGTGGAAGGACAAGGACCACAGGTGACGCCGGGGTAGCGGTAGGCTTGGGACAGGAGATCAGTGGGAGGGCTGGGACCCTCACATGCCTAAAAGTAAATGCCACCACTGAAAGCAGGGCAAGCGGCCCAGTGACCAGCCTGTGAAGAAAGGCCAAGAGAGACTTTGGAAGCTGCTCTGCCAGGCAGTTCAAAGAGCCAGCACCGGGCCCCTCCTCTGCCCACAGGAGAACGTGCACTCAGGGCCTCGGGAACAAGAACCACAGGGACAATGCTGCCTACCCACGATTTCAGAAATTCTGACGCTTCTCACCAAGGGCATTTTTATTCTAAACCATGCTGTCTGACATATAAAGCCACCGGATACAGGCCAACTTGAAAGTCGGGCAGAGAAGGATGCGGGGAGGAGCACAAGGCACAGGGAGCTCAGGAGCCCAGCGGAAGGGTCCCCAATGGTCTCTTCTACCCTGGCCCCCACCCCAAGGGGAGCTGTCTCCATGTGAGGTTCAGTCTGATGGTTCTGACCTTTCCTGGGCTCTAAGCAGCCATCAGCTAATATAACAGCTGCGAGAGACTTGAATGCCAGGATCAGAAATAGCACCGCCAAAGTGCCACTCAAGGAACGTGGACCGAGAGGGCTGCTTCTCTCTGTGGGAGTCTGGAGGCAGCCGCCTGAACGTGAGAGGAAACGACCCGGCCAAACCGCTCTCCAGACACACTGATATCACCACGGTGCTCACGGGGCCAGGCGGGACATTTCACTCGAACCTCTCACCACGGGCCAGAGCCTTAGTGGCCCTTCCTCCTCTTTGCTGGCCCCCACACCTGCGAAAGGGTCCTGAAGGGCAAATGCAAAGGGATCCCATGACCTCCTCCTGACCCTCAAGAGAGCATGTGCCGAACGGAGCTCACAAGGGCAGCGCTTAGACAGCAGCTGGGCCCAGGCGGAGGCTGGGGTGGGCCGGCGGCAACACCAGGTCCTCTGGAGCCGGAGAACCTCTAAGAGCTGGAAACTCTCCAACTCTCCCCAACTCCCCCTTGAGCACCTGCCTGATGGCTGCTCCAGGGGGAACTGAGGACCCTGGCCCAAATGTGACCCAGCAAAGGAAAGTAGACCCAGAACCTGTTTGGGTTGTACGGAAAGAGGAACCCAGAGAAGCCATTTAGAAAATCGCTAAGTTAAAATACATTTTTATGCTGTATTCTTTAAAAAGAAAAAGAAAAATCTTAGCTATAAACAAATCTCAGCTGGGTCACTGAGTCTGAGTTTAGTGGTTTGAATTAATAATAAGTATAAATCCACAAATAGTCACCCACAGTACGGCTGCTAGAAGGGAAATTGAGAAAATAACTTCTGTTGCTCTTTTAAAAATGTTCTTGGCACTAACACCCCATGAAGACCCCCTCCCAGAATTTTACAGACACCAGAATCCACCAGACCCGTGGCCCAGGAGACCCTGCCCATAACTCATCAGCTAACTGCCGGTTGGATCCAGTGACGGAGGTGCGAGACTCAGTAGGGTTTAGATCCCCAGGGCCGCCACGCACTCTGGGCCGGTCCTAACTCCACACCGCCTGACCTGGTTCTCAAACAGTGTGCCAACGCACCGAAAGCACTACAGTGAGCTTGCAGGGGTGCTGCTAGAGGTCACATTTTTGAGGTCAATACGGCAATGCTCAATGTGAGTCGGGCACCGTGTAAACTACCTGATGGAGGTAGCTCAGTCTCAATGAGACCTCAGCGACTTTCCTTCGGATGATATCACATCGCTCTGAAGCTGACTTTGTGAAGGTTGTAACACACAGCAAGTGGAAATCGATGTGGAACAAAAAATGAATGAAGTCCAACCTGACTGCCAAGTTCAAGAAGGCACACGCATCCCATTCGTAGGTAATTACAGTTAACAGTGAAAAAACTTCTTCTTTCAATTTCGTGTATTATTTTTCAGTGGCTACTAAATTGTTGAGATATACTATTTATTAAGATACTTGTACCAACCTAACAGACAAAACTGTTAGGTATTTCTTTTACTCCAGGCAAACCATGAAAAACTGACTGAGACACAAAGGGCGCCATGAACTGAGAAAGACAGGGAACCTTGGGCCTAATCCATTTCTAGGGGCCCCCGGGCGCCCCAGAGCCCGACTCACTGGCCAGCTAAATACACTCGGCTGAAATCAAACCTCTCCCTCTTTTAGAAAGTACCGTCTGGGCCTCTTCACCTGTCCCTTCCCGAGAGAAGCAAGCAGATGCACGGGGCGCTTATCCTCCTAGAGGTCAGGCCCTCCCCTCCACCACCGGACTGAGGACGGCCAGACGCCAACACCCCCCACGATCTAATGTCTACGTGGTCACCAGCACAACCACTTCCTAGAGATGTAACCCCAAGTGCGTGAAGACCGTGTGCGAGGACGCTCCCTGCCCCAGTTTGTCACAGGCAGAAATGGCTCAGTCAACAGTGGTACAAACACATGCTTACAGTACCAGGTAGAATAACGAGGTGATGGAGACAGAGGCCCAGGACTTAGGCTCAAAAAAGCAAAACAGGGTTTCTGGCCCTGGCTGGAGTGGTTCAGTGGACTGAGCACGGGCCTGTGAAGCAAAGGGTCGAGGTTTGATTCCCAGTCAGGGCACATGCCTGGGTTGCAGGCCAGTTCCCAGTGGGGGACACATGAGAGGCAACCACACCTTGATGTTTCTCTCCCACTCTTTCTCCTTCCTGTCCCCTCTCTCTAAAAATAAATAAATAAAAACATATTTTTTTAAAAACAGGGTTTCTGGTGCAATCATGTTAAATAAACTATAGCGCGTGTATGTCAGTACGTGCAGGAAGGGAGTTCTGAGGAGGGACGCAGCACACGGTTCACCGAATACTTTCGGTGGTGGGTATGGGAGTTCATGGGCAGGGACAGTTTCAGGGGAGCCACGTTCCTGATCCTCAGCCGCCACACACGTGTCTCTCGCAAATGGGCTCGCTAATTCCCTTCAAAGGACAGCTGTGTCTCAGCGAAAAGAAGGATGGAAACCCTGGTGGAATTTTTGGGATGACGAGATGATCTCAAAATTTGTACGGGAGGCTGAAGAGGAAACACTAGCCACTAAAGCCAGAGGGGTGACACCTCCACGTATCGAAACACACAGAGAGACTCAGCCACTGTGGCGTGTGGTGTGAGGGCGCCGGGGCAGACCACAGCGTCGACGCGGACCCCCATACAAGGACCACTGGACTAGGAAAAAGTAGCCTCAGTGCAGTGGGAAAGGACAGTCATTTCATTTCTTTTACTTCTTTCAAATCTGAACAAAGAAAATCATTTAATGCTAAGCCCTGACAGCACACGCACAGCAATGCCAGAACTGTGAATGAGTGGGACGAACCTAAGCCAATATCCTCCCATAAACGCACACAAATTGTGCGCAACGGCCCCCCCCAAACAATGAACAACAAACAAGTTAGGCAAACTCGGTCCTTCCCCCAAATTCATCCTGTGATTTTCTGCAGACTGGCAGCGACCACAGGAGCAGCGGAGCCGGAGTACGCAAGGGCAGGGAGAGTCGGCATTCCTGGAAACAACCGGAGTCCACGGCACGTCCCTCCCAGATGGGTGCGGGAACTTCCTTCCCCTGCCCAGTGGGTGGTCCTGGAGGAGCAAGTAGCAGGGCTCAGCAGGACACAAGGTGGTAACAGAAGGACAGATCTGGGGCAGGGACATGTCCATATGGGAAAGAAAGTAGATCTGCACCCCTACCTCCAAATCACACAAAAATCAACTCCAGATGGACTGTGGGCCTCTGTGTGAACGTACAAAATAAAGCACCCAACATAATATAGGAGACTATCTTCAGGACTTGGAGGTAAGACGAAGATTTAATAAACAGGACATAAAATGTCTAACTGTAAAGGGAAAGACTGGTACCCTGGAATTCATGAACATTAAGAAACTGCTCATCCATTGACCCGCGGAGGGAGAGAACAGGCAAGCCCCCGAGGGGAAAAGACATGAGCCACGCACATACCAACCCGGGGCGGCCACAGGCCAGACTACCGAGATCTGCTCAGGGCCATGAAAAGCCAGGCCCCCGGGATAAATAATAGGTAAAAGGCTTGGCCAGGGTTTTCACAAAAAAGTCTACCCAAACAGCAAACAAACCACCCAAACGGCCAATGCAAAGGTGCCGAACATTATTAATCACCTGGGAAATGCAAATAAAACCACAGTGAGATACCAGCAGAAGGGCTAACAAAACAAAGTTGGCACACTCGTGCGTTTGGTGAGGACGCAGAACAACTGAACCCCTACCCTGCTCACAGAGTGGAAGTCAGAACAACCACTCTGGAAAACTGCCAGGCAGCGTTTGCGAAGCTGAACCTCTGACCCAGCAATGCCATTCCTAGAAACGCAGTCAGTCGTGTATTTACTCAGCGAGAGATGAACAGAACGTTCACTCACCACTCACAATTACCAAAAGCAGGAAACCAGGCCAAAGTCCACCTACAGGAGCTGTCCTACAGTAGACACTACAGGGATACCACAAAGCAACGGGAGTGGACCTTCTACGGCTGCACGCAGCACGAGGGACGTTACACGTGACACCGAGCAGAAGCCGCCTGACGCCCACGGAACAGGCTCTGTGACTCTTCCTGTGTAGTTCAGTACAGGTCACCTGGCCCTGCGGATCAGGGCGCTGGTTACTCTGGCTGGAGAGCCTGGGGGAAGGGCAGTTTGCTGACTGCAGGGGGGCCCAAGGGAGGCTTCTGGGGTCTTGGCTGCTTTCTGTCTCTTGCTCTGTCTGTTGGTTACATGGGTGTGTTCCCTGTGAAGTCACTGAACTGTCTCCTTATGATTTGTGTACTTTCCCACATGTACACTGTAGTTCAATAAAAAGTTTACCGGAACAACAAACAACAGGTAGATTAAACTATGGTGACAATTCACGACAATGGCTACCTTTGTAGGGGGCAGGGTGAGTGGCAAAAGGCTGTGGGAGGCTTCTGGGGTGATGGGAACCTTCTACTTCTTGATCTGCTTGGTTGTTACATGGGAGAGTTCGCTTTGTGAAAATCCATCAAGCTGTAAATGTGTGCATCTTTCTCTATGTACATCACGCTTCAATAAAATTAACATCTTCAACATACCTTCTGGGGGCAGAGAAGCCGTGTGTGAGGACAGTGGCTTCGAGCACTGGGACAAACAAATGGAACAGAAGAGCAGCCTGGCCATGCCCTGCTCTCAGCCTGGGTTCGCCTTGCCCCGAGAGCCCCCGCCCGCCCTAGGACCGGGTCAGGACCCCGGTGCTCTCCGGGTGGCCAGATCAGCCCCAGCTCGCGCTCATCCTGCCATCCTGAAGGCCTGCTCCTCATCTGGATTCCCTGCCAGACTGCTGCTCCTCAAGGACAGAGCAAATGTCTTGCTCGCTGCTGCATTTTCACTCCGAGAAGTGCCCAGCCCAAGATAATGTTTGCCGAATGACTGTTTTATCTAGGGTCATGGGAACGGGGATGAGGCACACCCTCTGTCACCATGGGCCACGTTCCCGTCCAGTCGGCTCCCAGAGCCACTACTGACATATGAAAACAAACGGAGACGTGACAAACACAGCCAAGGCACTTGGCAGCCTGCCTACCAGAGTAGGCAATGAATAGAACCCGCCTGTCTGCTGGAGTGAGAGAGAGAGAGAGCGCCTGTGGACCAGCATGGAACAGGGCCTGTGAACCACCTCTGGGGCCTCCCAAGGCTGGTCCACACCAGGCACCTGGAGGCTCCTGACGACCACAGCTCCCACCCTGGTCTGACCTGGCTCGCTGCAGACGTGCACCATCTTCTATTTCTGGATCCAGTGACACGATCAACACGAGGTACCCAATAACTAACTCTTTCAGCAAATAAATGAACCAGAGACACAACCAGAAGATTCTAAGAATTCTTATCACCACTCGACGAGCAGAAGAGTCCAGATTAACCTTTGAATGTGGGTCACTGTCTCACCGAGTGGATCGTATCTCAGAGTGGATCGTACCGACATGCCCTGCTTATGCTGGTGAGAGCCACGGCGGGCGCACTTCAAACTGCTTAACTGTTCTGAGCACCTGGAAGGACCCACTGGGCCCCTCAGGCAGTCAGCGCCGCAGAAGGGAACCGAGGGGACTCACCGCCAGGAAGCCCAGGCGGCCTCCACACCGGGTCCTGAGCCCCACGGCGGCAGTCAGGTGGATCTCTGCCAGCGTGCTTGGCGGGATCTTCTCCTCCGCACACTCCGCCAGGTTCACAGCGCACAGAGCCATGTGGACATCCGAACAGGCAGATCCCGCGGGGAGCTTCCCTGTGGGGGCAGACGCCAACGTTAACACATCCCCCGACCCGAGGCTTTGCCTGCTTTCTCTAGCGCAACCAGAGCCATAGCAGAACCAAATGAGATAGTACGTGGACTGTGATCACACGGTCCTGGACGGGGTGCTGGGTCCTGCAACTTCCTAGCTGCATGTTTCTTTCCATCCCCCAGAGGGGACAGGAGAAAATGGGCCCCGTGGCACATGTATAAGGGCTGTGATGACAGGTTCCATAGGGGACTCAGAGGGGCACATCGTACTAGTTCCCGAAACAGTGTCAGCACCGCAGCAGTGTTCTGCTGACACACTCCCGTGTCTCCGAACTTTGCAAGAGTGGTGATGAAAACCTTTAAAATGGCCTGATTTGTATTCATTTTCACTTAAACAGACCCCAACACAGTGTGTAACAACGTGCCCTTTCGGAGGAGGGAGTAACACAACGCCGAGCAATGATGGCCACACGTGTCCTGGGTCAGTAGCTGGATGGCAGGAGTGGCTTATACTCCCCCCCACGTGAGGGCAGCCCCGACAGCAGGCTGAAGTGACCTTACAAAGGCACGTGGGCTCATCAAGGCTCTCGGGCTTTCACCCTGTTACTTGCTTTGGTCCTCACGACAGGACGGGGAGGTGGCCAGGGTAAGCAGTCACCTCACCTCACTGAGGGACAAAGCTGAGCCTCAGGGTGGGCCCGGATCGGAGCTCCAGGCGGGGGCAAGGCCTCTGCAACCTCCAGGCCTCCCGACCTCCCCCAGCTCTGCACCCTTCCCACGGGGCCGCTCTGCCTCCCTGGCCTTTTCATCAGTGGGAGACCTCGGCCCCCACACTTCATTCTGCACAGGTGGTAGGTGTCCGTTTGCCCTGGAGGTGCCCCCAAGCTTTCTCCTTGGGGGGAGGGAGGGTGGGGACAGTGTGGGAACCACATGTTGGTTGCCTCTGTCCCCTTAGTCAGTGCCGTGCACACACAGCACAGCCCACAGCACTGCAGAACTGGTGAAGGCCACACACCCTTCCATGCAAAGCCAAGACTTTCCAGAAAGTCTTTCGTGGAAAACCTCCCCCAACAAGTACGCACCCCCAAGGGAGCCCGATCCTTCTGCTCCCTCCACCACACCGAACTGTAATCCACTTGCTGACCTGTCTGCTTCTACTGGAGCAGGAGTTTGTTGAATGAAATAAATTATCATGTTTCACTGGATCTAAGATGTCAACAATTTTAAGTTTCACGATTAATTTAAGTCCACTAAGGAAAAAACACTGCTGATGCACCCACAGCATGCCACTGTGTAGAGGACGCAGCCCAAGTGTAGAGATGACAATGAGAACATCTGTGAGCGCCTTTAACTGATGAACGACAGTTACAAGCCACCCTTACAGCTGTGGATGTGGCAGAAAACCGGCAAACCAAGCCAGGGTGGGAAGGTGGCTCGGGGCACCTTGGGGCAGCAGGCAGCGGTGGTGCCTCTCACCTGTGATGTGCAGCTGGTGCAGCCTGTGATAGGCCAGGGCTGCATCCCGGGCACTGGCCTTGGCTTCGTCCTCAAAGCCCGCCGTGGTGGCCGGGGCGGCCCGGCGGCACTGGAAGACCTTCTTGAGCAGCCAACGTACCAGGCGCAGCTTCTGCAGGCTGTAGCGGATCACGTTCCAGGAGAGGCTGCAGGCCAGGTCCAGGCGGGAGGTGGGCAGTGCCCGGCCCAACACCGACAGGCAAGTGTGCAGGTTGGCGGCAGCAGCCGTAAAATCCCCCTAGCACACGGCAGAAGGTGTGATGCTCGCCAGCCTTGCTTTGGCTGTTTTATGTTCTAATAAAAAATCTTCCTCGCCCTGGTTGGTGTGGCTCAGTGGATTGAGCACTGGCCTGAGAGCCAAGGGGTTGTTGCAGGTTCGATTCCCAGCCAGGCCTCATGCCTCGGCCGTGGGCCAGGTCCCCAGTGCAGGGTGCGTGGGAGGCAACCACACATCGATGTTTCTCTCCCTCCCTTCCCCTCTGTCTGGGAATAAATGAATAAAAGCTTAAAAAATTGTCCCCCTCTCCCTTCATGTTCCAGAGTATCAGAGTAACACATGCCCCATGAAGAAGCCCCGGGGAAACTCAGAAAGCTGTGAGAGGAAGGGAACCGCCCGCGCCGTCACCTTCTCCCACGGCAGGGAGGACCGCCGGCACTTTAACGTGTCTCCTCCCAGCCTTTCCACTGTATTGGGATTGAACTGTGCCGGCACTTTAACGTGTCTCCTCCCAGCCTTTCCACTGTATTGGGATTGAACTGTTTCATCTCTGAGCAAACGCTCTTCAGAGTTTCCTACAGTCACTTTTATACACAAAATGATAACATGCGTTTAGATAACTTAGGTGACCTTTTAGGATCTCAAAGTGTGGTCCCTGGAGGTAACCAGCAGCATCAGCCCCTGGGGTCTGTTACAAATGCAAATTTTTGAAGGTTTTATCTATTTATTTTTAGAGAGAGGGGAAGGGAGGGAGAAAGGCAGGGAGAGAAATTTCAGTGCGTGGGCTGTCTCTCACACACCCCACACTGGGCCTGGCCTGCAACCCGGGCATGTGCCCTGACTGGGAATCGAACCGGCAACCTTTTGGTTTGCAGCCCACCCTCAATCCACTCAGCTACACCCGCCAGGGCAGAAATGCAAATTCTTGACGTCCCATTCCCACCCTCCTGGGCCTGCAGAACCTGAACCTCCCAACCCTTCATGTGATTCTGAAGCCTGCTGAAGTCCAGGAAGCACAGTTTCGGCAAATACAACAAAAGACTCCAACCAAGGATGTGGATGAACTAGTCCACTGGACTGAGAGAGTCTACGGACCTGCGCTGAAGCCTTTCTCTGTTTCGCTCATCACTGGGGGTTCAGAGACTCAGGCTACCCTCTTGGGAAACTTGAAGTAATCTCTCCTCTCCTTTCCCACAACAAACAGCGAGTATGAAATCTGTTCTTGCCTTCCTACATCGTTACAGGAGAGCGGATTATTACAAGGGGAAAGTGGATTCCCCTCTACAGTGCTGATGGCATCCTTCCGGCCAGGAGAAGCACCTGTATTTACAGATTTCAAAGGAGGTGGCCTTCCTTTGTCCTTCCTGTCCAGGAAGGTCGGCTGTTCCCAGGGCTCAGCCTTTGGCTCCTGCCTCTTCCGAGCCTCCTCAGGCAGCCCCGCCCTGCTGCAGGTGCAGAGCTTCCAACACACTCTGGTCCCCACCCTCCTCGGCCCCCACGGCCGAGGTCTGGTGGCTTCTCATGGTGTAGGGCCCTCTCACGGCACTGCCAAATACCGTGGCTTAGACAAAGTCCACATTTTCCAGGCTCCTATTTTTGAGCCAATGTCATTGCCACTTTCTTTCCATTTTACATCTTAGATCTTCCTTGACATGCCTTTCAATTCCATGTCCTCGCCACCTTCCCCCACCGTCTCCCTTGCATTTTTTGTCTCTCTCCAGAACCACACTCTAAACACAGACTGAAACCTGCCTCCAGGATCTATGTCCTGGGATTCTGTTCTCTGGGGACAGTCCCACTTCAAGGGGTAGGCCTCAGCAACCACAGCAGCCGTGCCCCAGGTACAGGGCTGGCAGACCCAGGCTGCTCCAGGAGGGGAGACCAGGCCCGTGTTTTTTTGCTGCTGCTGCTGCTGGGTGTTCTGGTTCTTGTGCCTCCTGAGACAGGGATGTTCAACTCTTCCTTCGGGGCTGAGCTGCTCCAGAATCCTACCTGTAAACTGTCTTGTTGATTTAAAAAAAAAAAAAAAAACCCAAAAAACAAAAACAAAACAACAACAAACTTCCAGCTAATTTTCCTGCTTAAAAATCTTTCTGGTTCTCCACAGAATTGGGGGAAAAGCCCCAGTCGGTTGCCAGTCAGAGCCCTCCCCATCTGGGCCCCAGCTACGCTACCGGCTTCGGCCCTACTCTCTCCTGACATTCCTCACACTCCAGGCACACCCATCTATCTGACATTCCCCACACTCCAGGCACACTCATCTATCTGCTACTCCCCACATTTCCCATGTATTCCTGCCTTTCACTCTGTTTGGCAGGTCCTTCCTGCCTCTTGACCATTCTGCTCAAGCCCCAGATTCCCTCGGTCAGGATATCTCTTCTGTTCCCAAACTCCTGCAGCACGATAGACTTCCTCTGTCATCCACGTGCGTGGAACCATTTACGCACGGGTGCCTCTGCTCCACTGCCCTGGGAGAGTTTAGGGGCAGGGTCCCTCCCTCCTCTCAAACCCCCGCTTTCCCCTGCAAGCACCTGCCATGGGACTTTATTCACTGGGGTACTTAATGTGACTTGCTAAGTCACTGGCTAATCCTGGTGGAGGAAGGGGAAAGGTGAACGGCGGAACTCACCCTGGCGAGGTCCAAGTCTGCCTGCTTCCGGTGCCTCCAGAAGGTGACTGAGGAGCGTGAGTGTGGCCGGATCACTGGCTCCCCGTGGACCAGCAGCTTCACAAAGACACTCAGGACAATCACACCATTTACCAGCCACAAGAGGAGAGTTGGCATCATCCAGTCAAACCAGCCCCCAGAACCTAAAGAACAGCTCTCAGTCAACTGGAGAGGAAGCCCCCCACTCCCCACCTTGGAGCAGCCCTGGGACTGCAGGGCACCTGCCTGACCCCTGGACTGTGACAGGAAAGAGCCTACTAATTCATTTGCAGAAGGTTGGACAACAAGATCACTTTATTTACTAACAACATCTAAATGCTCACGACAGGAATAACTTGAGACAATTCTACAATCTAAATAGGAACCCTATAATCCTTATCACTATGGAGCCAAGTGCCACAAAAAAATCTTTGTCAGCCAAGGGGGAGGTCACAGGTTTTAGGACTCAGGTGAAAACACCACATCCTCTTTCAAACAGCCCCCGACCCCATCCCTGGGGGATTATAGCAATGCGGGTTCTTGGATTATTTTGCTCTAACTAAACTCAGGTTTGCTCTGTTACTTCCAAAATGTGACTTATGCCAGTCCCTATCAAAAGCAAGCAGGTCAGGGTCACTACCAAAACCCTTTGGGACCTGGTGGACAAGCTGAGCAGTTTGTACACAGGGCCCACCTCTTCCACAGCAAGCCACCCGTGCTGGTGGCACAAGGACCCGTCTACCCACCTGACTCAAGTGACAGTACGCTGCGGCCGGAGCCTGAGTATGGGTGCTGGTCCGAGTCATGCGACCCTCCCCACTGCAGCAGGGCAGTCAGGGGGTTAAAGGACAAGCACAGGAAGGTGAGGACACACAGCAGGATTCGGGAGCGGTCCACCATGCCCAGCGCTATGGGAGGAGAGTCCGGCTCATCTTTGACCTTCAACACAGGGCCATGAGGTTAGAGTGCATGAATGCTGCATGGGTTTCTACAACATTTTACTTTTACATAGCTCAGAATCAGACTGTGAAATTTAAACTGAAGACCACTGAGCCAGACAGGAGTGAAGCTGGGAGGAAACTGCGACTCAAGCCCAGCAGCCCTTGCCCTCCTGCCGCCTGGGAAAGAACACATGCTGAAGACCAGAGGCAGACGAGCGGCACTTTTCTGGCAGGGCTCTACCCCAACAGGGCGCACGGCACGGCTGTTTCCTGTGTGATTCCGCCACAGGCAAGGCTGACCCAGTGATGGAAGTGGAGCAGTGGCCTGAGGCTGGACAGGGGTGTGTACATCACCTGCACGGGTGTACAAGGGAGCTTCGTGGGTGATGAAAATGCTCTGTAGTAGTTATATAAATGTACATGTGATAATACTGTACGATACTGTAAAACAGGAGCACTTTATTACACATAAATTATGCCTCAGCAGAGTTGATTGAAGAGCATGGATCTATATACAGGGGCTTGCCTGTTTTAAAACCATAGCACTGCCCTTTTCCTGCCCACTGTACAGAGGGAGGACTGGAGGCAGAGGCCTCGCCCACCCGGGAGCCCCACGGAGGGAAGGAGGCTGGGCTCGGACCTCCCGACTCCCAGTGTGCGTGAACCATGCCCCCTCTTTTTCAATGTTTTAAAATCATCTGAAAACTTCTTATGATGTTGAGGCTTAGCTAATTTGATGCATATGTCATATGGCCTTTTGTTATCAAATAGAACCACATTTATAAAATATTTGGAAAAAAAACCCCACCAGAGTTTCCTTAGTAAAACTAAGTATATGACACTATGAACACTTTGGCCAAAAGCATACACTGGAAGGGAGCTTTGTGCAATCAGAGTCAGAAAGCGCCAACGTTGAAATCCACTGCAGACCCAGTGGACTCCGCAGATTCCAGGAAGATCATTAGGCTCGAGCCTCTTTTAACCAATTCCATTAAACAGCAATTGCTGGGGGGGGGGGGGCTTTCTTGGTCCATTAGAGGCCCTTGGTTGGAACGCTATTTGTTAGACTGCACATTGTAATCATTTCCAGAAGAGGGCCCAGAGGCAGCTTCATCCTAAACCAGTGATGAACCTCACACAGTGGTCTTGCTAGGCCCATTACAGGCGAGGGAAGTAATTTTTAGCTCTGGATCTGGCCCTCAGTCCTCTTGGATGGGCCCTTTCAGCATGACCAGCTCAAGAGGACTTCACTGAACCAGTTAAACAGCCCCTACTGTTTCCCCCCGCAGAGTCGGTGTGCTCTTTCTTTATCGTCCAAGATTTGGCTAATTTCACTGAGTTCCTGCTCCTACCCAGCCTGGGTCCTCTGAACACCAGAGGCACCTGTCGGTGGCCTCCCCACTGCTAACTTCGGAGACATGGGAGAGATCCAGGGGCTGGGAGACTTTGAAAGTTCATACCTTTGCCTCATCCAACAGAGGGCTTCCGGGCTCAGAGTCGATGGAGTAGGGAGAGAATCCAGCCTGGGACCCCGAGTCAGAGGCCGGAGGGGACATCAGAAGCACATTCTGATTAAAGTCATCGATTTTCAGATCCACATCATTGTCCACCAGGCTGCCTAGGTCGATGCCCTTCAGGAGCTCTGCAAAGAAAACTCTATCTGGCAAATGGTGTTTTCCAGAGTCCTGCCTGGGCTGGGCAAGGGGTACACAGCCCCTGCTCCTGCTTTACCCCTGGAGGCACCTCGTGTGCATCAGTGGGCCCTCCCTAGTACCTGGCACGGGACTTCACCTGTCACCAGGTCTGACAGCCCTTCCCTCAATGAGCATACTCACTGTTTTTCTGACTTGCCAGCTTCAGCACCATGTTCTCCTGGCGCAATTTGTGATTGACCTGCTGCAAGTATTTGATGTAGTCAATGGCCTTCCTCAACACACCAGATTTGTGCATCTGGGAGGGAGATGGGTGAAAACACAGCAGCATCAGTGCAGGCTGCACGGCAGAGAGAGCGGAGGCCCAGAGCTCGTTCATGACAGCAAGGAGGATCTGGAGGGGGTGCAGCCAGGTCCAGATGCTGGCTCTCCCACTGATCAGCTCTGCTATCAGGACAAAGTAGCCGACATCTCTGAACCTCACTTTCCTCCTCCTTAGGATGAGGATAAGGATAATTATGTAAATCATAGCATGTAGTGAGGGCTCAAGGGGATAATACATGGAAAGAGCTTAGCTGCTGGCCTGGCACACAGTGATACTTGATAAATTTAGCTCTATGACTACTTCCTGTAATAATCCTGGCACCAAACAAACTTCAAACAAATGACAAAAAACCAGAGCACTGCTGGACAGTTTATCTTAAGTAAAGGTGTATCAGGTACCTTTCAGATTTGTAGGCTACAAAGGAAAGTGAAATTTTCTTCCAAAATAGAGATGAAGAACAAATAGGTAAAAAAAAAAAATCTAGATACCAGTGTATAAGAACATACATTCATTGAAACATCAGAAATATATATATAAAAAAAACAGCCACGGCTGGTGTGCCTCAGTGGATTGAGCACCGGCCTGCACGCCAAAGGGTCACAGGTACATTTCCCAGTCAAGGCACATGCCTGGGTTGCAGGCCAGGTCCCTGGTGGGGGATGCATGAGAGGCAACCACACATTGATGTTTCTCTGCCTCTTTCTCCCTCCCTTTCATTCTCTCTGGGGATAAGTAGATAAAATCTTAAAAAAACAAAACAAACAACCCCACACCAGAAATATATAAAAAAATCAACTTCCTCTATTTGCTGTTGATCCCATACCAGTTCCAGTTTCTTCCTCAACAGGTAAAAATAGAGCTAGCCACCCTGAACATAATTCAACACAGGCCAGCAATGCCATGGACCGACTTCAAGGCACATGCAGTTGTGTACCTGGCCCCCCGGGAGTGGCAGGCATTTCTCTGCCTGTGACTCTGGGGTCCATGATCACTGCAGGACAGAGTCAAAGGTCCAGGAAGGCCACTGTCGTACCCAACCCACAACAGTCCCCTTATACTGGTCAATGTTTTGTAATCTTGAAAAACTAAAATGCTTTATTTAATAAGAAAACAGCTAATTTGCATGCACTCAGCCTGGATCTGGAGACTTCTAAATTTCCGAAGCTAAAGAAGGTAGAGGGAAGATGGTAGGGCATGAAACATCACTTTGTTGGCACCCACCTTGGCATCTGTCCCCATGACCAGGTCCTTCAACTCGATGATTTTGTCATTAATGGAGGAGCGATACCGCTTCTCAATGATGTTGTGTGTTGTCCGCCTTTCTCCCTCTTTGGGGGGCTCAAGCTGCTTGACTCCTCCGGGAACCTGTTTAATGGGCACTTTCTCTTGCCCCATCATCACAGGCATTGTGGTCAGAATGGTCCCACTGCTGCCTACCAGGGTCTAGAACAGGCACAGACACAGGGAAGTTACCCCTTGGTTAGTCTGAGTAAAGCAACCTCACCAGACAAACCTGAGGACTGTCCATGTGGCACCAGCTGGTCCGCTCTGGGTGGTCTGAGACCCTTTCTGGGTTACAACCGAGAAGCCCCAAGAAGTCCGAGGAGCCACAGGACCTCAGTTCCTATGCCTCTTTCGGACTCACTGTCCATAACTCACGCTTCACTAGGACTAATGTAGGTAAAACTGTCTTAGCCTTTGGTCTGGGGATCCAGAAACAAGTCATATGACATCTGTTTTCCTGCTGAACCACCAACCACCTCTGAACTGAGCTTGCATTCAGCATCACTGAATCGTCTGGCCCCAGGGAGGACTTTTTCATAGAGTACAACATATTTTTCCCCTCACGTGACAGTGAAGTAACTTACTGCATTTGCTTATACTCTGTGTCCATCAAAAAGGGCAGAAGTGACACTTTCATCAGAGCGATGTCATTAAGTGAATAGGCCAAGCACAGAGGCTTTCCCCCATTTCTCCCCTCAAATTTGCTTTTTCCGGTTTCTATTTGTACTAATTTTAGTTTTAATTTGTTCCAAAAATGGCCTCAAATACCCAAATGACCAATGTACAAATAAAAAGTTGCTCGACTTCATTAGTTACCGAGAAATAATTTGCACATAATAAAAAACACACATTTTAATACACAACTTAATGAATTTTTACGTATGTGTATAATGGGTGTAACTAAGATAACCCAGACCAAGACAGAGCATTTCTACCCCCAGGAGGTTCCCTCACACCTCTTCCCAGTAACGCCTGCTCCTTTCTCCTCCCGGAATCTACTCTGACCTCTACCACCACGGCTTACTTTTGCTCTTCCTGAACTTCCTGTAAGTGGGTAAGTGGAATCATTGGCACAAGCTCTTCCTTGATAGTTATCTTTTGCTCAACATACTACACCGAGGGTAACTCAATAGTTCTTTTTGGACAGACACTTGGGTTGCTTCTAGTTCTTGGCTTTTGTGAATAAAGCTCGCTTTCAAATTTTGATCACCTTTTACTCTGAAAGTGGCTGAAACCCTACGCCTGAAGGATGGGTCCCTTCCATGCCCCTCACTTGGAGCCCCTCCCTGCCTACCGGGTCTGAGGTCTTTTAGAAGCCAAACCTCCATCGGCAGAACCGAGGAGGGTGGTCCTGTGCTGAGCTGTTGCCCAGAGCCTGGGCTCCGCTGCTGTTCCTCTCTCCCGCTCTGGTCCCTGAACTCCCATATAACACGCACCGGTGGTGCTTCTCTCGGGGAGAACACTAGGGGCGACAGCTGCAATGGGTGACAGCTGCAACACATTCCATGGAGCTCCCGCAGCTCCTCAGCACAGGGGCTGTACGGCCGTCTCTGAGACCGCACACCTCCTGAAGGGAGGTGGAGGGTGAGGTGGCTCTTACTGGGACTTGCAGGGCGGCCGTCTGGATGGGGGTGGTGAGGGCAGTGAGGGCCGGGTTCTGGACTGCGGCCATGACAGGGCTGCCATCTGTCTTCAGTGTGGTCAAAACAAGGGAATCTGTCTTGATGATCTGAGGCTGTACCAGGACCTGGATGAAAAGGAGGAAAAGGAAGAGGGAGGTAGCATTATTTTTCTTTTCTGCATAAGCTTCTTACTGCATAGACCCTCCAGGAAAGAGAAAATGAAATTTTCATGAAACTGAGAATACAACCCGATGACGGGATTGAGAGGGAGAAAGAGGGTACAGCTAAAGAGGGCCCTGATTTCAAGGCTGAAAGGTTTCGAGGCGAGCAGTGCCAGTGGCCTGGCAGGGAAAGGGTGGAATGACTTGGGGCGGATGGTGGTAGGGAGACAGGTCTGATTCTGAACAAACTCAGGAAAGCGGGGAACCTGGCTAAGAAGCAAAAATGATAAACCGAGACTTCTTTTCAAAGAAAAATTACTTTGTAAGAAAATACATCTACTGTGATTCACGACTTAAAAACATTCGAGCACCTTTCTTCCCAGTTTTATACTCACTGTCTGTGTAAGTGATACACCTGCATTTGTGGAGTCCATGTGAGTGCCGGTGCACACCCTCAGATGCCACCTCAGCCAGGTCTCTACACCGGGCTCAGGGATGCTTTGCAGGGCCTGGGTGTCCCTACCCACCCTATAAGTGCTCCCTCACACCCCAGTGGTCCTTCTTAGTATGCAGACCACATCTCTAACAGGAGACCAGCTGACAGCCCCACACAGTGACTCCCTGAAACCTTATCTGCCACCTACCGGGACCTGCTGCACCTGGGGTGCAGCGACTGTCTGCACCGTGGCTGGGGCGAGGGTCTGCAGTGTGCCATTGGCCGTTTGCGTCAGCACCCGCTGGGCCTGCACTGTCTGCACCTGCTGCTGGATGGTGACCGGCTGCACCTGGGAGGATGTCACTAGGCTTTGGACTTGAGGCTGAAGGACTTGGGAAAAGAGGAGAAAAAAGTCACATGAACAAGGAATGCATTCTGTCACTGTAGCCGCAGCAATAATGGAGGATAGAGTGCCTCATAACGACCCCGACTCCCCACCTACTGCTGCTGAAGATGTGCACAGCCATTTACAAGCCGGTCTAGATAACAAGAACATCCCAGAAGGGCCGCATCCATTTCTGAGGGAATGAGTGCAAATTATTTTATTATTCTGGGTGATGGAGTGGAGGTGAGGGAAGCTAATCAGCGAATGACTGGCCCAGCAAGGGAGTTAACAGATGTTGAGAATAACAAGTCCCTGGGGCTTCCCTGCCTCCCATGAAATGAACAGAAAGTGCACTTGGGGACGATTATCTCAGCTTTTGGCTTTGATGCTTCCTCCCACCATCCCCTAAACCCTGAAAGCCCAAAGAAGAATTATCAGAGCAATACTAATCCCACCCGGAGTCCCCCACAGGGCCGGAGGGTGTCTGACGAGAAGGCGCCGGGGCACAGCACAACAGGGAAAGCCCCGTACACGCCAAGGGCCTACTGGAAGGCCTGCTACTTGGCGACCCGGCACCAGTGTTAAAAGTTGAAGGCGCAGTTCTCAACCTACAGGTGCCAAGCCCTGGCTGTTACCTGGGTAAGTTTCAAGACTAATTCTATGTAAGCCTCCACCTCTAGTTACCAGGACAGTCCTGTGTCTGCTCTGCTTGCTGGACTCTTTGAAGCAAGCACAATAGATACTAAGGCATTTGAAGAGGCAGAATGTGAGCTATTCCATACCACTGTCCTGACTGCCAGTAACCAAACCTCATTGGACAGGACCAAATCAACAGATTCTGTCATCGCCAAAGAGGACAGAACTATTTACAATCTGCCTCGGGAGCAACAGCAAACTAGCACATAAACTTTTGAATAACCCATCACTATCATATCTGACTCTTGAATTACCTTGAAAACTGGTAGCCGCATTCTGGTAGATCAAAGGCTGCTGGATGATCCTCGTCTGGGGTGCAGTGCTGAATGTCGGGGTGATCATTACAGTCTGCTGCTGCAGCTGAGGTTGAGGCTGAGGCTGGGGGCGGGGCTGAAGAACGGGAGTTACCCTTGGAGGAGTGAGAATCGAGGTGGGGGAAACCTTGACCTGTAGCGCTGGAGCTTGGGGGGAGGTGGCCGAGGAAGAGAAGGAAGGTAATGGGACCTGGCTGAAGGAGCGCTGCACCGATGAGTCCCCAGCTCCGCTACTGCTGCCCCCGCCATTACTGCTGCTGCCGTTGCCACCGCCACCACCACCACCACCAGGGAAGGAGCTACACAGCTGCTCCGGGAACAGGTCAGGAAACTCTCCCACTTGATTGCTGACAAACTGCAGCATCTCTGTGAACAAATGAAAAGGGGTCATTTTACTCACACCCAAAATATTTAACTTTCAAATGTGCTTAGAAACAGGCATGAAAATCCAAAAGCATTCCCAAGATCAGAGCAGAAATGGGTCAGGAAACCCTCACCTCTTGTGTGGGGTTATCAACTGGGCAAAGACGGCCAAACTGAGGGAAAACGAGCCAGGAGTTCGTCCATTCGATACTCTTCCCTCTCCTGACCCCACCTCCAGGCCCTTTCTATCCACCTTCCTTACTGCATCAGGCCTATCAGGAGCCGCCTCCGTGCTGGGAGAAGGGTGCTTTTAGAGGATATTGCTGGTCCCATTTTACAGTTGGGGATGCTGGGGCAGAGAGTGGGTGGTCATAGTGGGTAGTCACTACCCTAAGGGTTTGGAGCTCAGTAACTTTGCTCTGTGAGGCCACTTCCAGTCACAGCACTGCTCCCCATGGCACCCAGGAGTCCTGTGGGTCTGGTCTGGATGCAGAGCTGAGCCAGACTCTCCTTCTCCCTCACCCCAGACAGACTTCCCTTCTGCCTACAAGCAGGTTCTGGGCCTCCTCTCCAAGATGGGCATGTTCCTGGGCACTGCTGGTACCCCCAGGAACACTCATGAAGTTGACCCAAGTCATGGACCTTTAGGGGTAGAATGGATGGAAAATCATCCACAAAGTCTAGAACAGGGAAATGACCTGGCCAAGGTCATAGAGCTCATCAGAACATGGCCAGGTCTCTGCCCCTCAGTGCATTCACTGCCAGAAGGGCAGGGTGGAACAACCTGGCTGTGGACTCTGTGCCTTGGAGGGCCCACTCTGGCCCTCCCCTGGCTGTGCCTCTTCCCCAGGGCATGGAGTCTGTGGGACCAACAGGACGCATCCACCTGGAAGCATCACCCCTGCCCACTCCGGTTCATGCTCCAAGTACCCAGGACCCCTGAATTCTTGGCCCAGAGGGCCTCAAGCCTGCTTCCAGGGCCTCTTCCCCGGTTCACCCTCACAAAGGTTTACCAAAACCCAACCGAATCCATGACTTGCCTCTCATGACTCCTTTCTTCCTCCTCATAGGACTGGCCCCCAATAGGAGTCTGGAGCCTCAGCTTTGTCCCAGGTATTTTTAGATCTGTGATTCTCTACACTGTCCACATCACCCCCCAACCTTTCCTCTCGCATATATTCCCAAAGACCTACCACTTGTTTCTGAACTGTGGTACCTCCCTCTCCAAACCCTCAAGGCCACAGGATGCTCTGATTTGTTCACCAAAATAAAAAACAAAACAAAAACAACCCCCTAAACACCATTTCCTTTCATTTCCCCAAACTTCCACCAGCGAGTCCCTCCCAGGTCTCTAACAGCTGCGGTGCACAGTGATGTTATTTACCAACACTTCCACACCACTCTGTCCCCACCTGGCCAGTGTGTGACAGAGGGAGAAATGGACAGCCTGCTGCAGGTACTGTCACTCATACCAACCGATTCCAATTCCTTAATATAGGACTAAATAAGGAGCATCCTCAAACTCAGCACAAAATTGAAACAAAACACAATTTAGTGCTGCCATGTTCCAAGTACAACAACATAAGATTATAAAAAAGCTTTAGGAAAAGGACTAAGAGAAACCTAATAATTTGTTGAGCTTTCCAGAATTCTGTGTCAGTTTGGTGAACTGACACAGAAGCCTGCTTCTGCCAAAAGAAAGTCACTCCTTGGCTGATTGTTTTTATCCACAGAATGCTAAGGACAAAAGGGAAAAGAGGCCAGAGGTCAGGTAAGTGGGCACAGGCTCTGGCACTAGGTGGGTCTCAAGGCAAGTCACTTATCTTGGTTTCCTCACCAAAAAGGCTGCCTCAAGAATGCTCACTTGGGCCCTGGCTGGTCTGGCTCGGTGGGCTGAGTGCCGGCCTGTGAACCAAAGGGTACCAGGTTCAATTCCCAGTCAGGGCACACGCCCGGGTTGTGGGCCAGGTCCCCAGCAGGGGACGCATGAAAGGCAGCCAGCCACACACTGATGTTTCTCTCCCTCTCTTCGCTTCCTTCCTTCCCTCCTCTCTAAAAATAAACAAATAAAATGTTTGTTAAAAGCCTTACTTGGTCTCTCTGTTTTGAGTATTAACAAGATAATTTATGCAGAGTGCTTGGTGAAGGGCAGACCTTTACAAAGCTTCCTCTTAGTGGTGCTTCTAGAGCACCCACTACACGGCACTCGGCTCCACTTATGTGATCCTGTTGGGTGCTCTCCAAAACCTTCTGTGGGGGAAGACCTGGCTGGCGTGGTGAGGTAACTCGCAGAGGTCACAAAGCTCAGTTCACAAAGCAGGGTAAGAGTGTGTAGGCAGATGGAATACGACTACTCAAATTAAAAAAATAAATCCTTTTCAACCCACACTTGACAAGCTCCAGTGGTGTTATCTCCAGCCAGGCAGATTGGCACTGGGCTGATTGGCACAAAGGGCCCATTAAGACCCAGCACTTGAAGGGAGAAGTAATGGGAAGCTCTTTAAAGCCACTGTCTCCCTGGGACCCCCATCTGGTCTGCAGTGACAAAGAAGAGGGGGGCTCCCCAACAAGAATGAGGCCAAGAGAAATAAGGCTCAGGAGGCCCACCCCCAAATGCAGCTTTGCTCTGTAATTCTGAGCTACCCCACACCCCTCACCAAGGGAGCACCCTAATGTCTCCTTGCTGTTCCCTGCTCTGATGACATGGGTTTTCATTTCCACAGAGAGCCGTAAGACCTACAAAAGACAGGCCTGGGAGGAGGCACAGGTTTTATGGAGCTTTGAAAATGAAGTTCCAGTTACTGCATCATGAGCTGAGGCCCCCAGAGCTGAAGGCCAGATGCCCTCAGTTGGGGAGGTTACCCTCCCCAACCAAGCCACATTTCTGTTTTTAGCTGTTGCTTAAACTGTTGGCTGTTGCTTAAACTATGGATTAGCTGTTGCTTAAACTATGAATTAAAAGTGGACTGAGCCCAGAAACTATAACTGGGTTTTAGACTCTTTAAAAGCTTGTAACCAAACAGAGGTTCCAGTTGTCACCTGTGTACTACAACCAGTCAGTCCAAAATATTATCAGATTAATTCTCGCCAGGAATAATGAGTCTGAAGCCCCAAGTGGAGTAACACTGTCTCCAAACTGCGTGTGTATGTCCAGACTTTTTCCAATACAGGGCTTGTTCACACACACAACCATGAACATGTATGTGAATGGTTTTGCAAAAACAGGATTATACTATTTTGTACACTGCTCCCTTTGCTTAGTAAAGCATGAAGAATATTAATTGTCAACCATTATGGATATTGGCTTACACTATCATCGTTTCTGAGAGTTCCAAAGTATTGTATTATATTGAATTAATGCACTAGAATTTAACCACTTAGTAATGATGGGTAGGTGTTTTCAACTTTTCAGGATTATTAACAATTCTTACACAGATCTTGAACAAAAATCTTTCCCCAGTTGTCTGATTATTTTCTTGGATGAATGTCTAGCGTTAGATGGCTGAGTCAAAGGACAGGTGCGTGTGCCTCGGAAAGGCTGCGACGATCTCTGCTCCTGCCAGCACTTCCCCACATCTACTTCTGTCCATCAAACGGAGGAAGACAACGACATCTAACTGTTCTGACTGATGTGAATAAGTACTAATGAGGCCAAATGTCTCCTCTTCCAATTTTACTGGCCATTTGTATTTCTTCCTTTGCAAATTGCCTGCTCCTGACCTTTGTCCATTTTTTTCTATTGAACTATTTGTCTCTATTCATTGATTTGAAAAAATTTCATATTATGGACATTTGCTCTTTCTTATATATTGCCACACTTTGTTACTTTTAGTTTGTTCAGGAAAAGGAATGACACAGAGATTATAGTTACCATGTCCTACCTAGCCTTGTGACTTGGGGCAAGTTTTACTTCTGTTAGCCGGTTTCCTCATCTGAAATAACGTGGTTCACAATTACATCTAACTCATGGGGTAAGTGCCTGGCACTTATTATTAGATAGCACAAGTTATTCATAGTGGGTTTTTTTGACTGTCAGTTTTGCTTTGACTCTTATTTTGAAAAATGCAAATTTGTTCCAATGCACTGGATAGATTAAGGGAATAATTTGAGCATAACATGAATTTTGTGTTTACTTATGCATGAGAGAAACACTAGAAAATGCAGAAAACCGTACCCGGCTGAAATGAGCCACACAGGAATCCACAAAATGCACACACACGCCCACCTCAGCTCATCACCAGCTGGTCAGGTCGCTTGGTGTTCCACACCATCACCTCCTACTTTCCATCGCGGAAGTCGGAACTTTCCATTTGACTTCAGGGAGCCCCGCTCCTGCCATTTCACTGTTCCAGTGCCCACTTCCACCTTACCTCTTTTCCAAGGTAAAGTGCCATGTTTTTGGTGGTATTTCTATACTTCTTAGCCACTTAACATCTGTTAAAACTGCACTGTTTTACTAGCTTCCTATCTTTAGTTTCTCTATCTTTTTTTTTTCTTTTTTGGTTACCTCTACAGTTTTTGAGTATTTGACCCCTGCCCCCATAAGCCCTGTGGATTTTATTGCATGATTTTTCACAGTATGGTGATTTTTTGGAATTCAGGTTACATTACAGCAGAAATTGACCACATATAAGTTTTAATATTGTGTAGTAAAATTTGTGTTCCACTTAAAAAATCCCTAGAGGGATTTTTTTAAAGATCATTAAGAACATTCACTTAAACTATCTCCATTTAGGTTTTTTTTTTCATTTTACCTTTCATATTAGCTCAGTTCAAGAAACATAGAACACAGAAATAAACATGGTATATGATGTGTGTAGACTATGGAATAAGACAGACCACAGCCAGTGGGGGAAAGGGAGGTAAAACAGAAAATCTAATTCCCAACAAGTATCCTTCTTGAGTGTCTTGCTTCCACCCCTCCTAGGATTTTCTTTTCCTAATAATTACAGAATCATAACATAATGTAATGTGATGTAATGTAATATAAATAAGAATAAACT